CCGCAGGTCACAACGAATTCAATGTTGACTCCTGAAATTATGAACAAGCTCATTGCCTTGGTTGAACAGCCATCCAATGATAAATTGTCTGGTAAGATTACACACTTTTAATGGCTTATTGATAGCGGAGCCTCTCTTCACATGACGGGATCCTTGAATTTGTTGACTAAAATTAGAAAGATTAATCCTTTGTCCGTCACTTTACCAAACAGATCTGTTACTCTTGCAGAAAAAGAAGGAACAATGATGTTTAATGCACAATTCAAACTATCCAATGTGTTATATGTTCCCCAATTGAGATGCAATTTGATTTCTGTTTCACAGCTATTGCGAAATAATAGCAGGATGGTAACCTTTACTGATAAAAATTGCCTTTTGCAGGACCAAACACTGAAGAGGGAGATTGGTTTGGGTGAGCTCAAGGAAGGAGTGTATGTGTTTCAGCCCAAGCATGCTTCGGCTTCAGCAGTTCGAGCAGAAGAATCTATGGAGCTGTGGCATAGTAGACTAGGTCATGCATCTTATGATATGTTGTCTTTGATTCCAGGAATTAATATTTCGTTGAATAAAAATGTTACTGGTGCGGCATGTGATGTTTGCCAATGTGCCAAACAAACTCGATCTGTGTTTCCTTTGAGTACTTCACGCAGTAAAGAAAGTTTTTATTTGGTTCATTGTGATACTTGGGGACCCTACAAGTCTCCTTCCTCTTCGGGTGCTTACTATTTCTTAACTATTGTCGATGATTTTAGTAGAAGTGTGTGGGTATATATGATGGCCGAGAAAAGTGAAACTTATGATCGAATGTGTAAATTTATGGCTATGGTGCAGAATCAGTTTGGGAAAAATGTCAAAATAATTCGTTCTGATAATGGAACTGAATTTAAGTTTAATAAAATGATGCAACTCTTGAGTGAAAAAGGCATTTTACAACAAACATCGTGTGTACATACTCCCGAACAAAATGGACGCGTAGAGAGGAGACATAGACACATTCTTAATGTCTCGCGTGCTTTATTATTTCATGCAGGTATGACAGCTGAGTTCTGGGAAGAAAACATTCTAACAGCTGTACATCTGATCAATAGAACACCTACAAAGGTTCTTGGAGGAAAGTCACCACATGAGATATTGCATGGAACCCCACCAGAAGACACTTACTTAAGAACATTTGGATGTTTGTGCTTCGCTAACTTCAGACCCAAACCCAATGACAAATTCGCTCCACGCTCTCGACGATGTATTTTAATTGGATATCCAACAGGACAAAAGGGTTGGAGATTGTTAGATATCGAGACTGGACAGCGTTTTGTGTCAAGAGATGTCAAGTTTCGAGAACAAGAATTTCCATTCCGAGTAAAGAAGAATGAACCTATTGTCCCTCAGCTGCCTACATCATTCCCTGATGAAACTGAAAACGTTGTAGTTGCAGAAAACGCTGAAGAGCAGTCATGTGAAACTGCCACAATAGTGCAACCCACTATGGACGATAGGGGGAGCTCCGATGCTATTTCAATGCCATATTCCTCTCAGGATGTTGTGCCTACAAGACACCAGAGAGCACGAAAACTTCCCACTTATTTGCAAGATTATGCTTGTCACATGGCTGAAACACACTCGCATCCTCTCATCCGAACCAATGTCACCTCAGGTATTAAGTATCCTATATGCAATTATGTCAGTTTAACTAATTTTTCTAAAGAACATCGAGCCTTTGTTGCAGCAATTGACGCCAATCAAGAGCCTCGAAATTTTCGAGAAGCCATGCGAGATACACGGTGGGTGGCTGCCATGAGGAACGAAATCCAAGCTTTGGAAGATAATAAAACTTGGTACATTACAGATTTGCCTCCACACAAACATGCTCTCCCAAGCAAATGGGTGTTTAAAATCAAATACCGTTCTGACGGTACGGTGGAACGCTATAAGGCAAGGTTGGTGATAGCTGGAAATCATCAAATTGCTGGGGAGGATTACAGTGAGACATATGCACCAGTGGCCAAAATGGTGAGTGTTCGTACACTACTTGCTGTAGCAGCTTCCAAAAATTGGGAATTACATCAACTCGACGTCCACAATGCATTCTTGAACGGTGACCTAAGTGAAGAAGTTTACATGCGGTTTCCTCCCGGATTCAGTGACAGATCCAATCACAAAGTATGTCGTCTTACCAAATCCTTATATGGACTGAGGCAATCACCACGAAACTGGTTCTCCAAACTCAGCTCTTCCTTGACACATTATGGTTTTATACAATCAAGGGCAGATTATACGCTCTTTACTCTCCAAAGAGGGGACGCTTTCCTAGCAGTCCTAGTCTACGTTGATGATATAATAGTGGCAGGGAATGATCCTAATGCATGTAAAGCAGTCAAGGAGTATCTGAACAAATGTTTCAAAATCAAAGACTTAGGTCCGCTGAAGTATTTCCTGGGTATTGAAATTGCTCGTAGCAAGTAAGGCATTTTCCTTTATCAACGTAAGTACACTTTGGACCTTCTGTCCGAATCAGGCTTGAGTGGGAGTAAGCCTGCGAACTCTCCCATCGAACAGAATCATCACCTCGCCTTGGATGATGGCCCTATGTTTGACAATCCTGAACGATATCGAAGACTTATAGGTAAACTCATTTACCTCACCATCACTCGACCTGATTTGAGTTATGCCATTCATATTTTATCACAGTTCATGCAACAACCCAAGCAAGCTCACTTTGAAGCTGTCGTTCGTGTCCTTCGGTATCTCAAAAGGAATCCTGGCCAAGGCTTACTTTTTAAGTCCGATTGTGACTTACAGTTTCATGCTTACTGCGACTCGGATTGGGCATCTTGTCCTCTCACTCGCAAATCCATTACTGGTTTTTTTATTATGCTAGGATCATCCCCAATCTCTTGGAAGACTAAGAAACAAGTCACGGTCTCCTGTTCTTCGGCAGAAGCAGAATACAGATCCATGGCAGCAGCTACCTCGGAGTTAGTTTGGCTCAAATCGTTTCTTACTTCCCTTGGTGTTCCACATTCAGGTCCTATGGAGTTATTTTGTGACAACCAAGCCGCCTTACACATAGCTGCCAACCCCGTCTTCCATGAACGGACAAAACACATCGAAATAGATTGCCATTTCGTGCGAGAACAGATTCTTGCCAGCAACATTGTCACTGCTCACGTCCGTTCAAGATCCCAACTTGCGGACCTGTTTACTAAAGCATTGAGACAACGTCCGTTCTTCGAATTCCTTCCCAAGTTGGGCATTTCATCCTTGCATGCTCCAACTTGAGGGGGAGTGTTGGAGATTGTTAGGATATCAATATTTGTTAGGATATTATACTGTTAGATATATTATACGGTTAGATTGTTATATTGCAGATTCTTTAGTTTGTTACTAGATAGTTAGATAATTTAGATAGTTGTTTTTATCTCTTATCATTTCTCTGTAACAAAGCTCTGTAACAAATCGTGTATCTGTTTTGCCAATTGCCTATTAAAAGGCTGCACACTTGAATAATATCAACAGGTTGCATTACCAAGTTTATCTATTTGCTACACGTTATAAATGAATATTAATTATTATGACATCTAACATTTTCAACTAATAAAAATATATGCGTGTACCATACAATAATAAGTTTGCGTTAGTGTTCATGTTTGGCGTTCTCCCGTGATGCCATTAATATTTTTACTAAAAGAAGCTGTTTATTAATTTACAATCCAAAGATCATATATAGTTTTTTTAAACAGTTATGCGCCAAACAAAAGGATATTATTTTCATTAAAAGTATTTAATTTTTTTCTCCCAAAACTATTTTTTTCATTACCCGAGACTAAAGCTTGGTCAAAGTATTAGTTATTTTAGCTAATGAAGTAATCATTCATTCCAATTCAACTTCACGCACTAATTACCTCACTATCCCTTTTTGCCAATGCATAATAAGAACGTTTTTTTTTTTCTTAAAAAGAAAAAGGAAAAAGCAATACACGTTGAGATCAGGATGAGGATGGAGAAAAAGAACAAAATACGAATAAATGGTCCTGTACAAGATAAGAGGGTCAAAGTGGTCCACGCAGTGGTCAAAGAACTCAATTCACATTACAAATAAAAAAATTGCGTGAAGAGTCATGCCCCCATTCCATACACCGCCTCCAGCCACCGGCGTGGCAAGTAACGCCGAAACTCCCTTCACATCGTGTATCTATCTCCCTTCTAGAATAACGTTCACTTTATATCCAAAATTTTACATATATTAGATTACAATTTTTTTATGATGTTATCAAAAAGAATTTTCTCTAAATATACTATGCTCAAAATAAAAGAAACTAAATACACCAAATCCAAAAAAAAAAGATATTACTGTTCAAATTCCAAATAAAATAAGGGCAATTAAGGAAAAACAAAAACAAAAGCTTTTTCCCCACTTTTTTTTTTTGGTGAACAAGGCCCCAAAAACTTTTTCCCCACTTAACTTCAAGTCATTAGTACACCACAATATTTTTCAGCAACGAAAGAAATTTTAGTGCCATATTTGTTGCTTGTCCCTTTGGGCGTTCCAAACTCCAAAGATGTCTTATGACGTATCTCTCTCTCCTATATATTAAATAACAATAATAAAGAAAATTAGTTCTCAACTTCCAAGTTTCATCATTTAATTGCCATTAAAATAATTGCAGAAAAAGATTAAATAAACCAAAATGTTTGCGTCAGCCTAATCACCGTTTAGATCTACACAACAGTACAGAGCCTAGCTGACCTCATTCTCAGCTGCAATTGTTTGAATGGAATCTCTGATATTTGAGATCTTAAACACCCATCGCTTCTTCCTCAATCCCAAAGGGCAACAACACCCTCAAAGATAAATTGAACAAAAAAAAAACCCTATAAAGATGAGGAATTTCACTACTTGATGGGAGGAAAAATAAATAAATAAATAAATAAAACAAAACAAAGAAGAAGAAGCAAAGAGAAAGTGTATGTCTAAGCTATATTTCAATCAATTCCATCATTCTAATATTTTTTCTTCTATTATCAGGTAGCCAGAAACCTTAACAAAAGCAACACCTTGAAGGCATAAACATGACACTCCATTGATGGAGCTTCAAAGCATCCTTAAAAAAAAAAAAAAAAAATTGAAAATTTCTAGCCAAGAATTTTATTTTTATTTTTTATGTACAAGTATATCTCTTCCTCTTTTGACTGACGCCAACAAAAAGATCAAACTGGCCTCCATTTCCACGGAAGAAGCACCAAAAAGGATCTTTATGCAAAAGGGAAGAAGAGGGGGGTACTTTAAAAAAAAATGAAAAAGAAAAGGAGAGAACTTTAAGCTCTCTCAAGATCCCTTTGTGTCTCCCTCATCAACCCTTTTTTTTTCATTTTCTTCAGGAATCACTGTAATCACGCCAGCAGATAAGCATTGTGACGCAGCGCCTCATGATGTAGAAACGAGCCCTCTGTTCCTTCACAAGCACAGCACACTTGCTAGCAAAAGCACACTTCTTCTGCGTTGAACTCTTCATGAAAGGGGTGCTTGAAGATCTGCTCCTGGTCGACCCTTCCTTCTTTGACAACTTCCACTTCTCATCAAAGTACAAAGGTGGTGCATTTTCCATGCTGCTACATGTGGATATAGCAGAAGAAGCCATGATGAACAGAGTGAAATTGCTTAATTATGTGTAAAGAGAGAAAAAGAGAGAGGAAGAAGGAAATGAAAAACTGTGGGCTATGAATTTACTGCAAGACTGAATCACTGGGTGAGGGTCGGTATTTATAAGGGTTTAGATTGGAAAAATGGTTAGCAGATGAGTTGTGTCATGTGTGTGTGGCAGTGGTGTCACCTGGTTCTTTCTTTGCCTTGAGAGGCCCACCTTTTTTTTTTTTTTTATAATGATAAATATTTTTTAATTGGAAAATTATTGTTTATTATATTATATTATATGTTGGCTAGCAAAAGTAAAACTGTTATTATTGTGAGGTGGGTTCCCAATGCAGACGTCAGTGGTGAAAAGGAGAGACGAGAATTGAATGCTGGAAATCTTAAATTGATTGATACATAGTTTTATTTTGGAAGGGAAAAGGGAGAAAGAAATTTTAAAGAAAACCAGGGATACATAGGAAAGTAGGGTGTTACATTAGTGGGGTTGGGTGGTAAGAAGTAACTGTAAAATTGTGGGAGTCTGAGACTGAGAGGAAACTTTGTCAGCATTTGGGAAAGATTTTTAAAGAGGATTGAATTGGGGATTCAACTTTAATGAAAGTGAAAAACTTTTGTCATGGGGAAAACTTGGTGGTGAAAAAGGCCATTTCATTTTCCTTTGTAGGCTAGAAATACCCAATGCAGAGGAGATTCTTAGAGGTGGGGGACCAAGAGTGTTTCTGTTCCTGTTCACTAATTTAACTTGTATGATGTGGAAGCCACTTTTACTTCTACTGTAGGCCTTTGTTTTTTTCTTATAAAAAGATTGTCATTTTCTCAGTGGAATTTAAGAATCTCGCCACTTAATTCTTTTTTAGGATATGAAGTTTTTAACGCTCATTTGTGTCGTTTCGCTGTTTTTCAAAAGAAATATTATGACTACATAATGACATTTGTTTTTGTTTAGAAGCATTAATTAAAAATAAAACTAACCCTAAAAGAAAAACCATGATCAGAAGAAGTATTTTAGTGATGAGGTGACAAGGAGATTCTTGTTGAAAACTAAGCCATTCTTTAGTTTATTTATTAACAGAGATTTCCTTCTCATAAAACATGATTCACAAAAGTATCACACAATCCTTTTTCTGGGGATAATATAAAAGCATCTCAATCGTTATTTACTCAAAATATCCTTTGAATACAGAAAAAAGAATATTTTGGCAAATATATTCGCTGCATCAAAACAATCTTATTCACATATTACTTGATCTTGATGGTAGCCAAGCACTGATGTTAGATAGAACCTTTGCCAAATCACCCACAACTTCAGTAAAAATTTCATACCCACATACTACCATTATCTCTTCGAATCCCATCCACACTCGCCTAATTAGATTCTTTTATTAATTTTTTTTCTGATAGCTTATTTTAAACATAAATTTAACTAATCCCAACACGTCCTCTAAATCCTTAACTGTTCTAATTAGGTAAATGTAACATACCAAATCAGTAAGTTCAACTTAGATGCCGATAACTCTTCTTTGCTCTGTGTCTCTCATTTTCCTTCTTTTTCCCCCTTTGCACTCAGCAATCTGTGTGCATCACGCTATTGCTATTCTTTTAACCCATTTATAGAAAACTAAACAACCACCTATAAAAAGGACACGGTCCATTCATCGACCCAGAAGACCAACTTCTCAGGGTTCATGGTCAATATCATATTTGTTCGAAACTAGGTTGTTTGCCCATGGCATTGCCAACATCGTGCAGATTAAATACCGTATGTCCGATACACATGCTGCTGGTATTCGATTCATAATTTTGTGCAAAATTCATATATTCATTACGATTTGGTTAATTAGAAAGGGAGCAAAAGATCAGCACTGGAAGTGTTAAAACACTCAAGAAAGAATCCTTTAGTCTTTAGCTTAATTATGTGAATGTGTTGAGTAATTGTTACGGATAAAAGGTTGAAACATTTGACTAATTTTAGCAAATACCATGGGATTGGACTAGACATTAGCTTTATTTGTTTTATTCGCTTTAGAGAAATGCCCTCATACTTACCAAAAGAAAATTTTCTGGTGTGATTAACATATCTGACAGGGAAACATTATCATGTGTAAGAGATAGCCGAGTGCAAACAAATAAAGAAAGTATAGACATTAGATTTAGCACCATACAACGTGCTACACTTGATAGACTTAGGAGGATATTAATTACAAATTTTAGGAAATACGAGAGCGAGAAAATACAATTTCTTTCTCTACACATATAATTACCCGAATGGTATCGGCAAAAGGGCATTACCTTTTATTATTATTATTATTATTACTATTATTTCTAATATACTAGAGTATTTTATCTATTCTTTGCATTACAATCCAAGCAAAAAAACCGAATTGGTTGCCTAGATTCCCCATAACAACCAAGCAGATAGGCATCAAATAGATAGCAGAAGAATTGAAGAGGTGTCCAATACCAAAGCTAGAGTAGTCAGTCATTTTTACCTACTCTTGGCAGTACCTAAGGCTCAAGGGTTGCTGATTTTGTTGCTTCCGCCTCTGAACTCACAACCTTTTCCTGTATTTGGTGCCCGAGCCAGTGAGCCACCACCAACAACACGCCACTACACCCTATGAAAACTGTGATTCTGTGAATCTTTATATTTTTATCTACACGGTACACCCCTTCTCTCACTAAAGTATGCATTGTTTAAAGTTAGTGTTTTACAGTTTGCAAAAAATGATTCTTTGCATGAATACATTGTGGTAACAACAGAGTAAGGTAAAGGAAAAACAAAAAAAAAAAAAGGCCAAAAATGAAAGGTGATCTAGTGGATGTGACCGTACATGGGACTCGGGGTCCATAGGAATTGTGCCCCATTGGTGGGGGCTTTGTTATATCAAGGAAAGGGTGTGTGAGTGTGACCCACAGTGACATATCAGAAGCTGTATTTGTATGAAGCGTGACGAGCCAGTAGCATCATTGTGGGGATTAATTAGGCTATAAGGTCATGTGGATGTACAACAAACAAGTGGCGACGTATCAGTTTTGTTATGAGTTTTGATCATCATGCTCATGCCTAGGCAAATTGATTGCGGCAAAGGGTTGCCATGTTCGTGATGGGAAATATCACTGCAGGCCTGCAATTTCTCATCAACACTTTGCATTTTTACATTCCAAAGTCCAAACAAATGAATCTCCTGCTTCACTTCCATGTAATTTTTACTCAAGGATTTAGTCCTCCTCTGTTCTGATGAAATCGACAACTCGTTTTCAAAAGCACCCCCTTCCAATGTAACTATCATAAAACAGGACATGGTTGAGTTTGAATTATTTGTATATATGTCTTTACATAATTGAAAACATAAATAGTATTTCCAAACCTTTTCCCTGTTAGAAGTTTTAGTTTTCAGGTCATTATGATCACCTGTGATAGCAATCATGGACCCCATTGTTATAAAATTTTATACCTGTGGATCAAAATTAAAGGGCTGTCCATTTGTAGAACAAATTTTAAGTGGGAAATTTGCACGAGTTAAGTTTGACTTTCTTGGACTCGTTAAATTTCGTATTACAGATTATATGTATGTAGTATAGTATGTACGCTATTAAATGCATTTCCTACATCTCAAGCACCCACGTGAAGTTTTGGTAACAAATGGTTATGGTGTTTATTTATTCCAAGTCGGCATTCAAATCCTTTGCCTGTTTTTCATTGCCTGCGGCGTTCCCATTGCAACTCTATTTACTCCATGCATATTAAAATCCATTTTAATTATTGATGATAAGTGTCAAATATATTATGTTTTTATTGTTAAATATAGTTCAAATAATAATTAAATTAATTAAAAATATAGTGTTAGTTAATAAAATCTAAAGATATTAAAATACCAACAACTGGATCAGATTCTAATCTCTTTTCAGTTTGTTTCAGGTCTAAAATAATAAATCGCAATCAAGAAGGATAAGGATCAAGAAAAATAAAGAATTAATTAAAATTAATCCTCCATGAGCCAGGTCCAAATTAAAAAGCCCATTTTTATTTTTATAAAAACGCACGTTAAGGCTCATTCCATTCATTATTGGATTGGGGGGAAGAAGAGGCAGAGGAGCGCATTCAGAAGGCATAGGAGCGGAGGAACGGTTAAAACTTCACCGTGGAGACCGGGTTTTATTTTTCTTTTTATGAATTTTAGTTTCTTTTCATCTATTGTTCTTGTTTTCCTGACTATGTCAGTCTAATTTTCTTTAAGTAGTTAGGGCGAGACGGAACCAATGGGTTCTTGAACGCTGTTTGCTTTTATTATAATTTATATTCTTGATTTAAGTTATGCAATTAATCTGCAATTTATTCCTAGTCTTATGTATGATCTGGCCAATCTTGAATGAGCATTAGAGTCGTGCATGACAATAGGGATGTTGGTGTATCGATTCTGATTGGTTGATTGCTGGAATTTGTATGATCTAGGGATAGACTTATAAATTCTATAATCGTATGTTCTTGCGTTAACGCTTATTTTATGAAAAAGTACTAAGAGATTAGACTTTGGATTAGAATAAAGAATTGAATTACCAAGGGATTTGGATTTAATCAATCATCGAAAGAGCTGTTAATAATTTGATTTTGAATGTAATCATAAGAATAGACAAACTCATTAAGAAACCAGTAGGGAAGTTGAATCCTAGCTACACATTTTTATTAAAACTTAAACTCAATTTCTAGATTTATTAATTCTGAATTTATTTTCTAAAATATTAAAAACCAAAAATAAATTTACAAATTCTGTTTTAATTAAATTACAATATTCTCAAACCAACATTTTACGATCGATCCAACTTTAGTTAAATAGATAAATTAGTGTTTGGTCATCAGTCTTCGTGGGATCGACAACTTTTCTTATCACTTTATTATTTGTACGACCGGTGCACTTGCCGAGTTCGCAACAATTGACAAGATAATAAAAATAATTTATCTTCAAAATATATTATTATTTAATTATTCATAAATATATGAAATCTTCACATTATTATTTTTAAACACATTCATTCTACAATGATAAAATCAAAT